CAGTTTTAGATTCATAGCAAAATTGAGAGGAAGGTACAGAGATTTCCCATATTCTCCCTACTCCCCCTCCCCTGCACATGCATGGATTCCCCTGTTTTCAGTATCCCCCACCATAGTGGTACATTTGTTAGAACTGATAACCTATGTGGACGCATTATAATTAACTAAAGTCCATGCTTTACATTTGGGTTTACTCTTGAACTACGGGTATGTATGTATAATGAATGATGTGTATCCATCATTATAGTATCCTGCAGAGTAGTTTCACTGCCCTAAAAATCCTCTGTGCTCTGTCTGTTCCCTCCTCCCTGCCTCCCCACCCTTTCTCTACTGCTCATCTTTTTACTGTTTCCATAGTGTTGCCCTTTCCAGAATGTCATATAGTTAGAATGTCTGACCTTATAATATGCAGCTTTTTCAAATTGGCTCTTTCACTTAGTTACATGCATTTAAATTTTCTCCATGTGTTTTCATGGCTTGATAGCTCATTTCTTTTTAGCGCTGAATAATATTCCATTGTCTAGGTATACCAATTTATTTGTCCATTTGCCTACTGAAGGATGTCTTGATGGCTTTCAAATTTTGGCTATTATGAATACAGCTCCTGTAGACATCTGAGTGCAGGGTTTTTTTGTGGATTTAAATTTTCAACTCCTTTGGGTAAATACCAGGGAGCATGATTCCTGGATATATAGTAACAGTATGCTTAGTTTTGTAAGAAACTGCCAAACGATCTTCCAAAGTGGTTTTACCATTTTACATTCCCACCAGGAATGAATGAGAGTTCCGGTTGCTCCACATTCTGGTCAGCATTGTTGGTGCTCTGAATTTTGGCCATTCTAATAGGTGTATAGTGGTATGCCATTATTGTAAAAAGGAATATGAAGACTGAGGAGTAGCTTCTGGGTTTGGCAACAATAGGTCTTGGGTGGATTTGGCAGAAGCTATTTCAGTAGAAGCTTGACCACAGTGGGTTGAGAATTGAGCAGGTTGTGAGGGAGTCGCCAGAAAATATAAAGGTAACTTTTTCAAGTGGTTTGGCTGTGAAGGAAAGGAGGTAGAGCAGATGTCTCATGACTGTGGGTCAAGGAGGTTTTGTTATTATAATTTTAAGATAGGAAAGGGTTGAGCTGGTGTGAAAAAGTGGATAGAGAGGGGAAGGTTGATGATATAATAAGGGCTGGTTAGTGAAGAGAATGACATCTCTGGAAAGGTAGGAAGGGAGGAGATTCAAGATTATTTTTAATAAGCACCAATTATGTACCAGGCACTGTTCACTGGGGAATACAGCATTGAACAAAGCAGACAAAAATTCCTGTCCTCAGAGAGCATATACTCTGGGGAAAACAAACATCTGTTCTGGTGGGGATAGACAGAAAACAAAAAGGTAAATAAGTATAATATATGGCATTTAATATAACTAAATCTAGTGGTTTTTGGCACATATATATGTCATATATATATAAGTATTTATATAGTAAAATACATATTAAAAATACCAGAGTATATAATACATAGTTGTTTTTTTTTTTAACCATTTCATACTCTTACTAAATCTCTTATTTCATGAAATTTGTTTTTCAATTGTATATATGTGTGTGAGTATTGGGTTATGATATTCAGGAGGGCTCCAAAATTTGAAAGCCACTGATTAGAGGACAAGAAGGCATTAATATCCTTGTTGGAATGAGCAATAACACCTAGGCTAAAGAAAGAGAAAATGATGGGGTAAATACAGGCGAGTTTGGAGATTTGATGGTAGGGAGCTGAGGGACTTTGAAGGATGGTAAGATTTTGTGAGGGAGAAATTAGGCAGAGATTGGAAGAGGAGGATCTCCAAGTCAGGGAATCTATGAACAAAGGCATGACTATGAAGTGAAGTAATTGAAAGTGTTTCAGACATAGTAAGTAATCCACTTGACTAGAAGGCAGTTCACATTATTGGATCTACCTTTGCATTTTCCATTCTAACTAGCTTCGTGACATTTCTGCTATTGCCTGTCCTAATTTGGGCCTTGATTATTTCCCACTTAGAATAGTTTCATAACCAGTTTCTATGTATCCAAATTCATTTTACTTGCTAATGCCAGTTAATCTTGATACATTACTACTGCAATTTTTCCCCGCCACCCCCACTTAAAATAATAATTGAAAAAACCCTGATATTCTCTATTACCCCTTTACACATTACGTGTGGTAGACAATCATTTTTTGTATATGTGCCTGCTTTTTGGAGAGTAGAGGGAGAGTCGTCTGGAAATGCAGGCTGGGGCCCTATTACAAATTTCTTAAACCCTAGAATGAGGACACTCTTTTTGGAGATCCCCAAAACTACCTCCAGGTTTGATGATTTGCTAGGAGGATTCACAAGACTTAGCATAGAGTTGTACTTGTGGCTATGGTTTATTACATCAAAAGGATATAAACACAATCAGCCAAAGGGAAAGGCCTGTGGGGCAAGGTCTGGAAGAAATTAGGTGCAAGCTTCCAAGGGTCTTCTCCTAGTGGAGTCACATAAGAAATACTTAATTTCTCCAGCAATGAACTGTGACAACAGATGTGAAATGTTGTCTATTAGGGAAGCTCATTAGAGACTCAATGTCTAGGGTGGTGGGGGGTCGTGGTGGTTACATAGCTACTCTTTGCATAGCATGTACCAAAATTCTGGCCACGTAGAAGGAAACTAGGTGTTCAGCATAAACCACATAGCTTGTACATGGTACAAACAGTTTAGGCACAGTAAGTCACTCTTTCCATTTCTGGGAATGGTGGGAACCCTCTTGGAATCCAAGTTCTCAGCCAAGAGCCCACCTTGCAAGCAGACCTTTCTAAGGACAGTAATCTCAGGCCTGCTGTGCTCTTTTCTGTACACTGTACTTAATGTGCTTCTATCAAGTGAAGAAGTGGCTTCAGGGGCTTCTTTGGAAATGGGGTAGTACAGTTATAGAAATGAGGGAGATGTGAAGAGGGTGGGACTTTGTGCCCCCCTCCCATTTTTCTCTTCCATAAATTTAGGATTGCATGGAAGGTTTTGTATGTAAAAAAAAAAGGTGCTGCTGTTAAAATTATGTTTGATGTTTGAAAACCACTTTTTTAAACAATGAGATGAATTTTAAGAAAAATATTAATAAAATCACAGTTTGGATTTTAGCAAGATCATCTCTGTAGTTGATGGAAGATATTTTCCAGATTGTGGTAGTGGTAAATTTGGGGCAGTGGAGGTGATCAGAGGCAGGGAGGCCAAGCCAGAGATCACGAGAGCCCCAGGTAGGTGGTAGCATGAGGAAGAGTGGGAGGGGATGGATTAGAGTATTTGCTCTACAAAGTGAGTAGTATTGTGATGGATGATTGGCTGAGGACCGGGTTGAAGAGTGAGATAGAAGTTTATTTTTTTACATAAAAATCTGGTAGGTGGCCCAGGGCTGGTTCGGCAGCTCAGCAGTGTTAGAGAACTTTGCTCTGCTTTGTTCAGCATTCTGTGGGCCTCGCCTTGCCAGGTTGGCTCTTCCAGCTGCAGGCATCACACTTACATTCCAGTTAGAAGAAGGGGAGGGAGGGGAGGAGGGCATGCCTTTCTCTTTAAGGGCATGTAGCAGAACTGCACAGGTTTCTGCTCACATCCCATTGGTTAGAACTGGTCATATGGCTGTGCCTGGCTGCTTGAGAGGCCAGAAATGGATTATTTGACTGGGCAGCCTAGTACCCAGCTAAAACTTCTATTCAGACAGGAAGAATAGCTATTAGAAGACAGCCCTAAAAAAAAAAAAAGACAGCCTTGCCCTCTCCCCAACACTCATGGCTTATTTAGGATTTTCTTTCTTGGGAAAAAGATGGAAATAACATTGACTCTTAATTTTTTCCCCAGGGTATGTAATTTTTATATTACTGAAACAAAGGAAACATGGTATTCAGTGAAACAAGGATAATACTGGCAATGTATCTTTGCAAAATCTTTGACTCAAAGAAGGGCACCAGCCCTGTCTAAAAAATGTGCCAGTTTGCTGCTATTTATTGTTGCTTCTAAAAAATACAGAGAAAGATAGTCAGTAATATTATAATAACTTTGTATGGTGACAGGTGGTAACTACACTACTGTGGTGAGAATTGTGTAAGGTATAGAATTGTTGAATCACTGTGTTGTCCACTTGAAACTAATATAACATTGTATATCAATTATACTTCTATAAAAGAATAAATAAAATAAAAATAGAACGGGAGTTACTTGCTCATTCCATCTGGCCCAGATAAGGAATAGAGTTATGATTGATCTTGCCATGGCCAATCATTTCTCTCCCAGGAGAGGCTAAAAAAAGGATCAGAAAACCTCACTGCTTTGAAACACTCTGTTGTGTTTCAGCTCTTTGTGTTCAGCTTAAAAGTTATGGAAAAGGAAAGGAATCTTACAAGCATGAAATCAGTGTGGTAATATCTGAATGCTATATGGTTTTGGATAGGGAATAAGGGGACAGTAGAAAACCCTTTGTGACTAATCTCTGTCTCTGCCTTGTTACTCAAAAACCAGAATTAGGCTTAACTCAAAGGTGCCAGCCCTGCTGTGAGGAAGGATCTAATGAATCCAGGTGGCCCATTTAATGGAGTGGAGGCAAAGCAGAGACTTTATGGCAGGTTAGGTTTTTTAGAAGAGGAGTTACAATGATAGCTTATGGGTTTGGGGTTTACTCTCTTTTATTAAAATGAGATGATTATATTCATTGAACAAATGTGTTTTATCTTTTTATTTTTTTTTTAAGTAGGCTCCACGCTCAATGTGGAGCTCGAACTCATGACCCTGAGATCAAGAGTCTCACACTCCACCGACTGAGCCAGCCAGGTGCCCCAAAATGTGTTTTATTGTTATCAAAAAGAGATTTACAATAACTGTTCACATATATATACTTCTACCTGAAAGGTTTTAATGTGATCATTAAGAAACATGTGGAGTACTATGAAATATCTTCATTTAAGGAAGTTTAAAATTTTATATATTTTTTTGTTTATAGCCTATACAGTTCAGACACCTGAGATTACATCTCCAACTGCGGCTACAGACGTTTATTCAAAAGCTTTGGCTGTTTGCCATGGACCACTGGACCATTATGACTTTCTGATCAAAGCTCATGAGCTAAAGGATGATGAGAATCAAAGAAGAGTCATACAGTGTTTGCAGAAATTACATGAGGACCTTAAAGGATACAGTATAGAGGCGGGAGGCCTTATTTCAAAGGTGAGTTTTGTGTGATATTAAAGACAGAACAGTTAAAAGTAAGCATTTTATAAAATGGATTAAATGCAGTTGGTACAATCATGAAACTGCTTGAAATTCTTCAACAGTTGGTTGTTTTTTTTTTCTTTAAGATTTTATTTATTTATTAGAGCACGAGTGGGTGGGAGAGGCAGAGGCAGAGGGAGAAGCAGACTCCCCACTGAGCAGGGAGCCCGATGTGGAGCTCCATCCCAGGACCCTGAGATTATGACCTGAGCTGAAGGCAGACACTTAACCAACTGAGCTACCCAGGTGTCCCTCTCATGAGTTCCTTTAAAGAAGCTCTGTTGGATCCCCATTCCTGACCTCTTGATGCTCCATGGCTTTCTTTTACCTTTGGGGGGATTCAAATAGCTTCATATTTAGGTAATGATTGATGCTATCTAGTCTAAATGGAAATTATACAATTTAAAAATTTCCCCTCCCTCTAGCTCAGGCCTGTCCCAGGATCAGCAGTGCAGAAGGTGGAGTGATTTGTTCTTCCCCTCTCCCTCCTCCTCCTGTGTCTGCTTGCCTGGCTTCTCTAGGGTCAGGATGAGAAGATGGAAATTAGAGCAAAACAGCAAAGTCTTAAGTGAACAGTTAAGGGCCTTTTGTGTGGTAGACACTGATATACTAGTGCTTTGTTGAAGGGGCACACTGGTGGGTTCTTTTGGACTCTCCTGGGGACCTCCCCACTGCTCCACTTTTGGACCTCTTATGACTCTGGTTGAACACCTTGCACCACTGCATTCTGCCCGTCCCCCTTGCCCTTGCACTTAACCTTCTTGGGTGGGCTCCTGTCAGGACAGCTCTACTCAGTACTCCTTTTATGGTGTCTGCTTAGGCCACAGGAAGCATAACATCTCCTTTCTCCAATCCCTACTCCAGCTTCAGTCAGCCTCCTGGAGACCTATGGCAAGTTCTTCCAGGGACATTTCCATAGCCTGCTTTGGTTACTGCCTGTGGGATTTCCTCACCTAAACAAGCATCCCACTGGAGAGGGGGATGCCCATCTCGTCATACACTCAATCCTAATCTCTTTGGACGCTTCCCTTGGGGGCCACCTGCTTTTGGCATGAGGTTTATCTGGGGGAGATGCCACAATATTCCTTACTTACCTAACAGCTTTCTTTCTTGATCACTTTCTTCAGTTCCACTTTGGTTTTAGGGCTGTTTTTGCTTCTTTTTTCTTCTTAAAGTACTTCCTGCATGGATGTGACTAATACCTCTTTTTAGAATGGAGGGGAACTTGTTTCTCCTTGTCCTTAGCTTTGAGCTTTTGCTGAAATTTTGAGACAACAGGAAAACTCCCATTCCTTATTCCATTATAGAAGCCATTGCCATCAATGGTGTCCTCTTCAAATTATGAGGGATATTAATAGTAAGAAAAGTTGGAATATGGTTCAACCAAAGAAACTAGTTTTCCTTTAATTGACTGGCCAACCATCCTCCCCCATGTACAAATGTTCTATTATTAAGAGGTCTGTAGAGGAAAGGTAATATATAACATATGTTAGTAGTGCTTGATTTAAAAACCCTAATCAAAGTAATTTTACTTCTCAAAAAGCACTTTAGAGTATACTTACATAGTTTTATTTTTATGGAAAGAAAAATGCGTCATTGCATTAACATCTTTTGGTTAAATGGACTAGGGATTCATTTAATTTACAGAAAGAAATGGAGATTTAGAATAAGACTACATATGCAAATAACAGTGGAGGGCATCTCTGTTACCCAGCCAGGCCTCCCAGAGCCAGAGCCTGAGGCTTTGCATCAGTGGTTTTGAAAGTGTTGATGACTTGACTGGCAGGAGGCACAGGTACCTGCTGATTCTTGCTCCAGTGCTCTGCCATTCATGTAATTTGCTTACTCTGTTCTTCCTTCCCCCATGTCTGTTTCCACTTCGGTTAGTCTTACCAATTTATTAATTCTCTTCCTGTATCTGTGGTTTAAATTGCTCAGTAAGAATCTGATAGGAAACTCAAATCACTTTATCACTGTTTGAGCAGAGCTTTCATACCAGGTTTTTTGGAGGGTACTAGCCAGTATAAAGATCTGATCTCTGCCTAAGGTACTATTCAGGGATCCCATGATTCTGCTGGTTCCCTCAGAAGTAGACTGTGACTGTGATGGCCACTATGATTAGCCGGCCCAGTGTAATGGTTATAGGAACTAATAAGGAATTATCCCTTTTGATGGCCACCCTTTCTTCATCTTCCAGTATTTCCAAAAGTTTATAGGCGAGTAAAGAACTAATAAGTTTGGAAAACGTAGACTGCTTAGGTACTGTGTACCTAATTATAGTTTGTAATACAGATGGTCTTCCAAATAAAATATTGGCTTGGTTATATGTCATAGCCAGCAAGCAGGATGTTTTACTTAACTGGGTTTTTGGTTATCAGAGTGAAATTGCTTTCATGAATTTTCTATTTTGTTCTCTTTGTAGTCCTTTCCCTTTTAGAAATACAGTCCTTTTTTCTCCCCTCCTCCCCACTCTGTATCATCCCTAGGGCTCATCTTACTGTGATTGGTGAACTTACATCCAGTGAAAAGTATCCTTTAATCATTAATGTGTCTGGTTGCCAATTCAACAACATTTTTTTTTTTTCTCTTAAGTAATTGTTTGGCTCTTCTCGGGGTATTCTCCCATACTTCCGCCTTTGATTTCTGAATTGGCAGTGATGGGTCTGCCTGGTAAATTGACAGTTATTTAGCAGTAAATAAATGTAATATTTGCTACCTAGAGTCCCTGGTTTTAATGTATAGCTGTAATCTTATATAAGTAAGAGGTAGTTTTAAATGTGTTTAATGAAAGCTTATATTTGTTTAATCCTAATGCATATGTGAATAAGTCTTTTGTAGATAGGTCAGCATTTCTTTTTTTTTTTTTTAAAGATTTTATTTATTCATTTGAGACACAGAGATACAGAGAGCATGAGCAGTGGGAGAGGCAGAGGGAGAGGGAGTAGCAGACTCCCCGCTGAGCCAGGAGCCCAATGTGGGACTCGATCCCAGGACCCTGGGATCATGACCTGAGCCAAAGGCAGATGCTTAACCATCTGAGCCACCCAGGCATCCCGATCAGCATTTCTTTGTGGTAGTATTTGTCCTGTAGTTTCTTAGGTTTGCCAAATCTTCAACATTGAAAAAGACCCAAACATCTAATGCAATCTGAGTAAAACATATATAAAAGCTTTAGTTTTTGTTTACTTCTTTGTTTTTTAAGGAGATAGACGTTTATTGAGAGAAAAAAGGGGTCCTTTGCCCTCACAGGCGTGGGCAGTCTGACCTGTTTGCCCTCAGACCTTCAGACCACACCAGGGAGCCACCCTGGCTGGAGACCTTCAGTTGTCTGAGGAGTACTCGGGTTAGACTGCTGGAAGGCCGAAGAGAGAAAGGAGAGGGAAGGAAGAATCCCTTCCAAGGGCAAGAGGGGAAATCCCTCACCCTTTTGGGCAAGGGCAGTCTAGCTGGTTCCCCCTGGGGCTTTGGATCCTCATCCAGGAGTAACCTTGGCCAGGAGGTGGGGGCACCAAATGTGCTGTCTCTCCTGACCAGATGGAAGCCGCCAAATGTGGGGCATATGATCAGGGGGAAACTGGCAGTGTGGGCAGTGAAAGAAGTTACCTGAGGCAGAACAAAGGAGATAGAAGTTTATTGAAAACACCGCAAGGGAGTGGTGGGCAGCATAGCAAAGCAGAGACTGTCTGCCTTAAAGCTTTAGTTTTTGAAGATTGTAAAGATGCCACAGACCTATTTCTTTTTTTTTTCAAGTATGTGTGTATGTGCGTGTGTACATACCACTGTTCTTTACCTGTTCATCAGTCCATGGACATTTGGACTCTTTCCATAATTTGGCTATTGTTGATAATGTTGCTGTAGACATCAGGGTGCATGTGTCCCTTTGGATTAGTATTGTTGGGTAAATACCTAATAGTGCTATTGCTGGATCATATGGTAGTTCTGTTTTTAACTTTTTGAGGAACCTCCATACTGTTTTTCAGAATGGCTGCACCAGTTTGCGTTCCTACCCACAGTGCAAGAGGGTTCCCCTTTCTCCACATCCTCACCAACACCTATTGTTTCCTGTGTTGTTAATTTTAGCCATTCTGACAGGTGTGAGGGTGGTATCTCATTGTAGTGTTGATTTGTATTTCCCTGATGATGAGTGATGTTGAGCATCTTTTCATGTGTCTGTTGGCCATCTGGATGTCTTCTTTGGAAAAATGTCTGTTCATGTCTTCTGCCCATTTTTTTAAACTGTATTATTTTGTATTTTGTGTGTTGTTTGATAAGTTCTTAATATATTTTGGATACCAACCCTTTATTGGATATATCATTTGCAAATATCTTCTCTCATTCTGTAGGTTGCCTTTTAGTTTTGTTGATTGTTTCCTTCGCTGTGCAGAAGAAGCTTTTTATTTTGATGAAGTCCCAGTAGTTTATTTTTGCTTTTGTTTCCCTTACCTTAGGAGACCTATCTAGAAAGAAGTTGCTATGGCTATTGTCAAAGAGGTTACTGCCTGTATTCTCCTCTAGGATTTTAATGGCTTCCTGTCTCACATTTAGGTCTTTCATCCATTTTGAATTTATTTTTGTTTATGGTGTAAGAACGTGGTCCAATTTCATTCTTTTGCATGTAGCTGTCCAGTTTTCCAAAACCATTTGTTGAAGAGACTGTCTTTAGGAGAGACTGGATAATCTTTCCTGCTTTGTCAAAGATTAATTAACCATATAGTTGTGAGACCTATTTCTTCTAAAAATAAACACTGATATGCCAAGTATCAGAGAAGGAAAACTTGGGCTACTAGTTTTTTTTTTGTTTTTTGTTTTTTTTTTTAAGTGAAAGTAGAACTTTATTTTTAGGTTTGTTGATTTTGGAAAGTAAGATTTATGATTTTATTTTTTCTCTAAGCTTATTGAGAAATTATAATTCAAGGGATACAATGTGATAATTTGATACTCATGTATTACAAAAT